CATCTTGGAGTTAGCTTGGATTTTACTGTCTCTTACATATTGACACTGCATATACACACTAGTTATGGACTCTTACTGTGTCATATCCCAACTAACTACAGGAGGACACTTTAAAATTATTTGAAATCCTCAGATTGTCAGCCTTGACAGCACCTTCACTCTTAGAAATATTTGGCTAGACTTTGCATTTTAAATCTTTGTCAATCACTTATTGTTTTCACTTCTAACTAGTTATTGTTACTTTATAGATGCAAGGGATGCTTTCTATTGAGCAAAGAGAAGAAAGCTGGAATACAAGAACATAACCTGGAAAAAACAAACAAACAAAAGGTAATTATAGAAGTGTTCAAGAAGAAATAGTCATGAGATAAGGTTATTTGAGATGGAGTAGTCATCCTTATTATGAGGGAGAATTCTATTGGAGCTGTCAGGGTTTGCAGATTAACCAGATGAAAAAGCAACATGCCAAACCAGAGCTGAAATTTCCAGTAACAAAATATCCTTTGGTTTCCCAGGAAACATACTTATGTTGTGTACAGTTATCTATCTAATGGTCATATTAAATTTGCCATTTTGTCTTCTTTCTGACAACCTTATCCAGGGCTTATCAAGTGAGAAATAATTCTAAATCCCCAGTTTGTTTCACCTGTAACTAGTTTTCTTCAGCAATGGCCTTTATAGCTATGTAATGGTTCTACTTTGCTGCTCTGAGGTAGACTAGGAAGTGGAAGGGTATGACTGCCCTCCTAAAAGGATTAAGTGTTGCTGCTGAGACAATTTTCAACTGCCTTTGGTTTCAGAACCTTGGCTGTTTCTTAACCAAATTCAGGACAGCTGTGTTGAAGTGTAAATACCTGTTCACAAAACAGAACAAAATAAAACAAGAGAAGAAGTTCTTCTTCTCAAGAGTTCTCCTTTCCATGATACAAGTTTCAGTATATTCCATGCTGGCGTTGGGTCTTGAATGTCTTTTCTTCCGTCATATACAAATACTGATTAGAACTCAATTATGAAATGATTGCACCTGATAGCTGAGCTCCATCTTGATCCACAGTCTGAGCTCAGGATGACTTGACTGAAGGCACCTGTATCACACTGGCCCCTGAGCTGTCAACACCACTCAGGGAAGTGGAGTCATAGATGGAGAGTGTGGGAATTATAAATATATACTGGCAACAATGCTAAAAGCCAAGCACCCAAAGAATTTCAGTGGTCTGCATAAAAAGTCACTTAGTGTATGCTACCCACCATTTTTTTTTATTTTGTTGGCTGTACTTGTTCAGCTACCTGTGATCTGTTGTAATTATGTAAGACAGGGCTATTAAGGTTGCCTTAGTCTCTCACAGGTTAGCAAGAGAGATGTGTGTCATTACCCACAAAATTTATCTTGTCTTTATCTTTCATACTGTATCATCCTGTGACTGTATGGGCATGGTGTCCTAATGCTACCAGGTGCTGAGTTTGAACAGAAAAGCAGCACGGTACTTTTTTCAAGCTTTCCTATATCACATCTGCTGATGTTCCATTGACCGAAGGAAGTTATGATATGCTTCTAAATCCAAACAAGAGGACAATAAACTCTGCCATTTCATTATGAGGATTTCGCAGAAAGATTCTTCCACAACGGTGATACTGTGGTTGGGAAGTGGGCACTTGGGGAGAGAGAAGGCTGAAATCTTAGGAAGGAACCAGACAGTCTTGCCAACAACAGGAGAAAAGGAATCAGTCACCAAATTCTCTCACTTCTAGTCCTTTTCCTTCAACAGAAGCATGAGGGCAATCTTAAATTAGTCTGTACTAAGACTAATTTAGCAAGAAAATGTGGAATTGTTTGGCCAGAATAGATCACTAATTTGAAATAATTCTATAAAAAGATATCTGTTCTTTAATTTCCCTCAGGTCTATCATTCTAACCTTTAGGGTTGCTTCCTTAATTCTATGGTTTCCCATGTTAATAACCAACTCTTAGCTGCTGTGTTTCTCCTTCACCTCTAGTCTCATCAACAGAGAAGTACAAGCTTGAAGTTCTGTCGGCACTAATTAGAGAGAGAAAATTACATCAGAGTTAAAAGTTCTACTTATGTAATCTCTGAAATTATCCCTGGATTAGGGATTGTTTGACTATGTAACAATGAAACAGCGGAAGCATTCTGTTAAACTAGGAGAGGCAAGATCATTATGTCTAAGACGTAACAGATTCTAGTCTAATTACCTATCTTCGAAGAAAAAAATTACTCACTGAAAATATGTGTGTGAACTGTGCACAAGTTATAACCAACTGGATAAACTGATGACCCCGAGTTAGAGGAAATTCTTTACCTACATAGCTTTTGCTCATTTTAAACTAAGTGTAAGGATCCCTTCCTGTTTCCTATTGCTGTCTCCTTGTGGAATATGACAGTGCATCATTGAAAGAGAAACTAGCTGTACAAAGAAATAAAGGAATTCTAGTAGATATTACATATTTTAAGTAAGAATTTTCTCAGGCAGGTATGCTTGAGGCAGAAGGATTAAAATTCTTCAAAGATGAAAATTTCTGCCTCTGTTTTTTTGCTACACAAGGAAATTTCTCCCCACCTTGGGAATCAAAAACAATCAAAATGTTTCAACATTATTATGAGGAACCATGAAAAACAAAAGCACAAATAGGATTAAGTGCATCAGTGCAGAGCAGTTTAGATTTTAGTTGAGTCAGAATTGTATAATGTAAAACACAGGTAGAAACATTTATTTTTTGGACAATGTTCTATTGACAAGAGGGAAATGACGTGTGGATGTGGGATGCACAGTTTTGAATGTGTCATACTTTGAGTAAAAAAAAAAATTGCACCTTTTCTTTCCACATAAAAGGACATTTCATTTATAGGGTTTATGTGATAATTCCAAATTAGAGCAAAGAAACAGATCCTACCAGGGATAAAGAGACAAGTCAGGACAAGGAGAGAGCAGGCAGATGCCGAAGAAATAATGCAGTGAGCAGTGGGATATCTTATGGTCTGTGTTTTATGACCAAAGTGGCATAATTGAGGAGGGCTATTTTTATTTTTTACTTTTGTAAAGCTGCATTTTTATTAAAAATTAAATTGAAATATAATTTCCTCAGTTTTCTCTTTTTGTCTCCTCCCTCTAACCTTTCTCATTTACCCCATCTTTGGCATTTTTTCCTCTCAAGGCCGCATGAAAGTCCCTGCTTCCATGTTAGCATGTTGCAGTTCTGTCCTTGTTCAGGTCTAGATTAGGCAGCCATATTGTTGGGTTATCATGTAGGAATCTTCTAGGAACGATAATCTATCTAGTGATAGAGCTCCTGGTACTTCAGGTCTTATAAGCTTTCCGCTCCTTCCAAAATGTTCCCTGAGCCTTAGGCTCAGGACTTTTGTTGTGCCAATTGGGGCTGAGCACCAATGAGTTGAACTATTCTTTAATGTGCTCAGTTCATTTAATTGATTCATTTTAACATGGTCAAACTAATTATGAGCTTAATGACTTTGTGACTACAAAGAATAGGCAGGTAGTAAATTTTTGAATTGAAACATAAAACACTAATTTCACAAATTACAGAGAAGCTAAATGAAAAACGTCAGAAGACCACCCACTTCTACTTTTGTTTTAAGGTAAGTCATACAATATACAATGCTTTACTTTTTCCCACAAATCTGTTTTCAACTATTAAAAGCAATTTTAATCCACTGAATAAATAGATATTATTTTCTAAACAGAAATTTATAGATTGCCTGTAAAATCCCTGTCATTGAAGTATTTATTTTCTATTCATTATAATTTATTTGATTTAGGAACTTAATTTATTCTATTTATGCAAAGAATATGTGCTAATTGAAAGCACTCAGACATGCATAATGAAATGTAACTTCTTAACTGATAGAAATTGAAAATCACGGTAATATTAATGACACTTTTTAGGGGCAAAGATTTTATTACATATACCTACTGATTATTGGACACAATCTGATGTGCTTTAATTCTGCTTGCTTTTTATTAGTTATTTGATAATTTCAGATGAGCTTTGCCTATATTCACTTCTTCCTCCATCTCCTCCCAGAATATTCCCGTCCTTCCCAACCTACCTACCTACCTACCTACCTACCTACCTACCTACCTACCTACCTTTGTGTCCTCATTCTTTTTTATGTTTTACTACCCATCAGGTCTAATGTGTGCTACCCATATTTTCCTGCACGTGTGGCCATCCTCTGGAGCATGATCTACCAACAGGAGCAACATTTTAAAGAAAACTAACTCACCCTTTACCAACAGCTATCAATTGCTAGTAGCTTCTCCAATGATGGTCGAGCATGACGGCCACCTCCCTTCACCATGCTGAAGTTTGGACTATCGTAGGCTTGCACGGGACTTCTTTATGCTGTCAGAATTCCTGTTAGTTCATCTGTACAGTTTCTCTTTTGGGTATGGAGGACACTCTTTCCTTGTCATTATCTACTACCCCTATCTCTTAATGTTTTTCTGTCTTTACTTCTTCAATGATCCCTGAGGCTTGGACGGAGGAGGTGCAGCATACTTGTTCCATTTAGGTTTGAACATTCCAAAGTCTCTTATTGTCTGCATACTGATCAGTCTTGAGTCTGTCTGCTAATCACAATCTATTGCAAATAGAAGCTTCTTTGATGAGGCTTGAGAGATGCATAATTTGTATGTAGAATAATAAGTCACTAGGAGTCAGTTTAATACTATGCCCATTTAACAGAAACTTTTTTATGTACAAATGAGAAACACTGAGAAATAAATCAGGAAGACAGAACTCTTAGCAATGTTGCCCTCAAACAAGGAAAGAAAGGCTCACAAGTGTGCATGCATGTGCATGCGCGTGCGCACTCACACACACTGCTGCTATCATGAAATAAATCTAACCAAGGAAGTGAAAGACATCTACAGTGGCAACTTTAAGACATAGAAGAAATTTCTACCTTTGGTAGAAAGCCTGACCGTGTGCATGACTTGGTAGTAGGAGTAATATTACAAAAATGATCACCCTGGTGCTCACTGAACACGTGGCTGCTGCAGAGCCCAACCTGCGAGGAGAAGAGGCTGCTGGGGGCGACCAGCTCATTCATGAGCAAGACCTGGCCTGGCTGCAGCAGGCAGATGTGGTTGTGGCCGAAGTGACACAGCCATCCTTGGGTGTTGGCTATGAACTAGGCTGGGCAGTAGCTCTTGGTAAGCAAATTCTGTGCCTGTTCTGACCACAGTCTGGCCGAGTGCTCTCTGCCATGATTCGGGGTGCAGCAGATGGCTCGAGGATCCAGGTGTGGGACTACACAGAAGGAGAGGTGGATGCCATGCTCGATCGATACTTTGAGGCTTATCCTCCTGGGGGGAAAGCTCCCTCCAGTAATCCAAGCACCTGACCTAGCTCATCTTTATTAAAATTTAAGATTTAAAAAAAAATGATCACCCTACAAAAAGCAATCTACTCTTTCAAGTTAATCCTTCTCAAAGTTACAATATAATTATTCACAGAAATTATTATTAATCAGCTTAAATTTAGTATACAAACACATTCAAGGCAACCCAAGGATCCTGAACACCATCACCACCAATAAAATTGCTGCTGGAATTGACAGCTTCTCTGAGAGAGAAAAATCAGTTTTTTTCAATGGAATGAAACTGGATATATCAAACAAACTTCATGATAGGCCAAAACAATTTGTTTTCCATGCCTTTTGTGTTCTCTTTCTCTCTCCCTTCTTCCCCCCCCCACTCCCCATTTGTATATGTGGCAGTTTCTATTCTACCAGACAGAAAGAACATGAAATTGAAAGGTAGAGAGGATTTTGCAAGAACTGGGGAAAGGGAAAAATATCAGCAAAATACATTGTATACAATTCTCAACAAAGTAAATAAAAACAAAAGAAAATATTGGTGATAACAACATCTCAATGTGATTTAAAATGAATAAAAAGCATAAACTTTTAAGTAAGTAGGGTGAAGTGATGATCCATGGAGATCATATGTGCATAGTGAATGAGGCACAGACTTCCCATTATTAACAGGAGGTGTTACTATGTAGCATCCACACTTTATGGCTTAAGAATTCCTGACCACTTTCCCTAGAATGGAGTTGTGCAGGAGAAGTCTGTAGAAGCTAGATTCTTTGGAGGCCCAGTTTGAGTCACACAGAATTACAACAACCAAAGCCAGACAGAAAACACTTAGCTTTGCAACCTTTCCTGATTCACTACAAAGAATCTGTCATCTTCACCAGCAGTCAATTAGCTTTGGACCGATATAATTATTTTACTGTTTTCTTTTTCACCAAAGTGAAAAAAAAAATATATGCCACCCTTCCCCCCACCACCACCTTCAATACTCTCTCACTATCTCGGCTTTTCCTTACCCTATCCCTAGTTCCATGGCCTCCAACTTGCTATGTACCAGCCTCCAACAGGGGCAGAGACTCCCCTGCTCTACTGGTCCATTTGGTGGACCAGCTCATCCACCAAATGCCCAGTCCCCAACTCCAGTGGTGGCTCTCTTCTCTACCAGAGATCAAGCAGACTGGGAAAAGTCCAGATAGGCTACTCACACACCAAACTATCTCTGTTTCAACACTTCCCTTATCTCCTAGTCCTGCACCCTCCTTGTTGCTTTGCCCTAGCCACCAACTGGAGTAGAGACTACCCACTCTACTGGAGATCAAGCAGACTCAGAAAACTCTAGGTAGGCTTCCTGTCTGCCAAACATCCCCACTCTTCCAATATCTCTGCATTCTCTGACTTGGACCCTTCTATTTGCCTTTCCCCAATCTCCAAATGGGGTGGAGACTCCAGTGCTATCAGAGACCAAAAAAACCCTGTCTACACTGACCAGAAGACCAGAGAAGAAACTGAAGCCAAGAAAATAGAAGCAAAAAACTGGAGAAAATGAATGTGTCCCTGAAAGAAAGTCAAGAAAAAGCAAACACAAAGTAAGCCAAACTGTTGAAGACCTGTGCATCAAAACAGAAGAAGTAAAGAAAGCACAAACTTGGGGGAATTCTGGAAATGAAAACTAGTAACAGGAACTGAAACTACAGGGCTGAAATTAATAAAATAGAAACAAAGAGAACAGTACAAAGAATCAATGAAACAAAGAGTTGTTTCTTTAAGAACGTAAACAAGATTGAAACATCCTTATCCAAAGTAAATAAAAGACTGAGAGAGAATATTCAAGTTAACAAAATCAGAAAATGAGTAGGTAAGGATCTAGAAAAGCCTACTTGACCTCACAAACTACCTTTTGAAAAAGGTCCTCCATCTTAAGACATCTGGTGATTGGGGATTGAACTCATTTCCAGAAAAACAAAAATAAAAACAAAAACAAAACATGGAATGTGCTGTGGCAGCAAAATTTAAACAAACCCTCTAGACACAGCCAACCATATGACGGGGCAACAAACTTTATAAGGTCCAGATGTTCTTGCAGACATCCTGTTGACAGTATGTGGTTTTGCATCAATAGCCTGGCCAAGGATTTTAAAAATTACGTTGTCCCATACTCCCTGACCCAAGCCTGAGCCAGAATTGCGCTGTGGGCCAAGCTTGAGTTTGTTTACATTTCTGTTTCTGCCTGTGACAGATGCTATTTGTTGAAGTTTATTCTTTTGCCATTGAATAATTTGCATGGTTGTTGATAAATCAATTAGTCATATATTTAAGCTTTCTTTTTCTGTAGTTTAATTTCTCTTCATTCTTATGCTAGTACCACACTCTGATAATTGTAGCTTCACAGGCATGTTTGAGATGAGGAAGTATGAGCCTTCCAACTTTGTTGATCTTATAACTATAAATCAAATTTCCATTTGTATTAGGTGTGGTAAGTTTGTTTTCTACATTGGAATTTCTTACATATAAGATCATTCCACCTTTGAATAAAGAAAAGTATGGGTGCAGATATATTTTAAGCAAATAGTTCATTTATCAAGAAAATAAATTTCAACGCTAATTTTAGTAGAGTAGATAATAATTGATAAATTGCCAGGCAGCACTCTGCATGTTATTTACCTACCTGTGCATCATTAATTTATGTAAAAATAACAAATTCAAACATATAAGGGCATATAGTATGCTATAAATAATTACAAATATTTTGGATATCAATTTCAAAGATTTTTCTTAGAAATATATTTGTCTTTCAAGATTGCAGTTATTTAAATTTGGCAGAATTATGTAAGTATCTTTAATAACAGATCTTCAAGGCAGTTTTTAAATTAATAAAATCTAATTAAAAGATTTTAATAAAAATAAATTTTATTTAACTCTATATAATTACATCATTTTTCTCCTACCCTTTCTGTGATCCAACTTACTGCTCTCTCTCTCTTTCTCTCTCAAATTCTTTTAACTTAATGATTATTGTTTCATTATATGTATATTTGCAAATAAATCTACAAGTACACACTGCTGAATCTGTTTGGTGCTGCTTATATGCATATAATAAACGTGTTTTGTATGACTGAAAACAGTATAGGATAACCATTTAGGTAGTCATCTCTAAAGAGACATTATCAATGTTTCATTAGATTTTAATTGTCACTAGTTCTTTGTCCAGGGTTGGAGCCTTATGAGCTTTCCACAATTCACGTGACATGCCAATAATGTTACTATTGTTCAGGTCTTTAGGCAATTATACTATCGCGATTTCATGATTGTAGTTTTACGTCATATACAGAGGATTTCATCTTCATTCAGACTTCATGGTTCTTTCATTTTGATAATTTTCTTCCCCATCTTCCACAGTTTTCCCTGTGCCTTATGTGTAGTGGTTGTGTTGTAGATCTATCCAATCATATTGGACACAGCACAGTCAGTTGTCTGTATGGGGACCAGCTATGGCTTTCGATAACGATCCCTATCTGCTCCAAAAAGAAATTATTTGATGAAGAAGTGAGAGTTACGCTTATCTGTGGATATAAGAATAAACATTTAGAATACAGTTAGGAATTATATTGCCTTAGGAAATTGACAGTAGTAGATCTCCTCTATGATCCATGAACTTACTAGGTAGGGTAGTTGACTAGATTTCCAGCATCAGACATGTTTGCCTCTCATTGAGAAAACCTTAAGTCCAATAAGTTCCTGCCTAAATATAAATGCCACTATTAAGTCATTAAGTATCTCTTTCCTTGCTACTTTTGTTGTGGTTCACAGGCATCATAGTTGTATAGGACTGTTGACTACTTTTCATCCTTGGTAGATTTTATAGCATTTTTGGTGATATATATATATATATATATATATATATATATCACATATATGACATATATATATGTCAATTCTCAATAAGGATACTACTCTGCTAGATTCAGCTTGAAACCTCTGAGTTTGTTGCCCAAAATGTGTGTTGATTTTGGCAATAGGGACTTAATTTCAACTTCTGGGAGCTAACTGGAGATAGTTGCAATAGCCTATATTGTTTGAGACCTCTTTTGGAATCCTGACTCTAAACAACTTGAAAGGAACTTTCTCATTTTGGCTCTGAGATTTTTAGCTAATAGTCCATAGCTCTTGTAGAGAGTATTATCATTCCCAGGCACCCTCTTCCTCACCTTCTCTCCGCCCCTCTTGCTCTCTCCATCTACTTTATCTCTATATAATTAACATGATTCCCTATTGCTTGTTAATATATCTTCAATCTTATTTATCTCTCCCCACTCCCTCTTCAGTACTGTCCTCCCAAACCACTCCCCAATTAAAGCTACTATATTTTCCCCATGTTGATCTTAATATTACTCATTTCCTGTGATTCTTCTGTAAAAGTCTCTTTTTAGTTGTCTGGATGTGAAATGGGCATTAAAGAAACTTTGAGATTCAATTTAATCCTAATAAGAATGGCTACAATAAATAAAACAACTCTGTTGATAAGAATTGGAGAAAGGGAAACTCTTATTTATTATTAGGGGAATTGCAAACTGGTGAAATCAATCTAGAAATCAATGTTAAGAATTCTTTAGCTGCAAAAAATAACAACATCATGAAATTTGCAGGTGAATGTATGGGATTAGAAAAAAAATCATCCTGTGTGAGGTAACCCAACCCCCCAAAACCAAACATGGCATGTACTCACTCATAAGTGGATACTAGATGTAAAATGAAAAATAACTACACCACAATCCACAGTTCCAGAGAAGCTAGATAACAAAGAAAACCCTAAGAAGGATGCATAGATTGCCTTGGGAAGGGGAAGTGAAGAGTTCTCCTGGGTAAACTGAGGGCAGAGGGCAGTAGAGGGAGGGGTTGGGGGATGAGAACATGAAGGAATGGGATGGTTGAGTTGGGGGAGAGATGGACTCGGAGAGCAGTGGAAGAGATATCTTGATAGAGGGAGCCAATTATGGGTTATTGAAAAACCTGGTGCTAGGGAAATTCCC